CAAACAATTCACAAAGAAATGCAACTTAACACGAGTGTATCTAATATTCCTGATAGCTTTCCCTCGAATGAATGTAACTTTATTTCATTATTTACATCCCTGAATATTGACAAATAATAATAGCTGTATATCAAAAAGCACAAATTAAAGAAATACATTTTCATACGGTCATATTAATAGTTCTGACTATACCCTCTTGCCAACCATGTCTCTTGAACAGATGTATATTAAACAAGTTAAGACCAACAAAATGTTTCATGAACCAATAACACCACGATGTATGACCAGTAAAATCTTCTAAACTATTATCACATGCAATCCTCTTTGCTTTAAAAATTATCATATTTGTAGAAACGAATAGTCCTTGCCTTCTCTGATCCACAACCCATTCATAGTTTATTTTCGAGATCTTGCCATTTTGTTTTTTTTCCTTTTAATCATTTTCAATTCTTCTTCTTGTTTGCACCAGCAACGACTCATTTTTTCTGTTGGTGGAGGACCAAAATATCTTTCGGCAGCTCTGTTTCCATGCTCTTTTGCATAATTAATCACACTTAATTTAAATTTAGCTGTGTATGACAGTCTCTTTTCTTTAGACATCGTAAGGGATGCAAAAATAGAACAAAAAATGAAGAAACAACTATTTTGCTCCCGAGGCCTAAGATACGGTACCTTGGCTTTCGGTGATGCATCCAACTTGACAGTAAGCACGTGCCAGACTGCCGAGTATCAAATGAAAATTGAAATACCGATTAGGCGATTACCAACGCTAATTGCATTAAGCTCTCTGATTGGTCAAGCGCATTGCATATTTGAATCCAAGTCAAGCACTTAAAAATATTTTTTATTTGTTAAAGTTAGGCCTGAAACGGCCTTATTCTGCTCCACCTTAAACGGGGATCGTCGTGTATTTACAAGCTTTTTCACTCTCATCCATTACTATAATTTATTTTTTTATTATTTAGGGAGCATTATAAATAGTTATGTTTTTAAACAAAAAAAAACTACTATTGTTATAAAAAACACATTCAATTGAACTAAACTGTGCATGCCTATTTAAATATATTTACACATGGCTTGTGTATATCGTATATATACATACATATTTTTAATACCTTCGGTGTATAGGATGCAAGCAGATTTTGACATCACATTTTGAGGTAAAAAAGTGCGTCTTGTACACCGAACAATATGGTAATTATTTTTCCAATATAAAACATATGTTTGCATTAGGTAACAAATCCTGTACTATAAAATGGTGTATTTTATACAGGAAAAGTACAGCAACGTGTATCACTGTTAAATTCAATTGGAAAGTTTTTGTATTGACATTTACTCATCATATAATTGCAATTAATAATAAAACTTCGGTTATGACCTTATGTTTATTTTAGTTTAAATTTCTTAATTTAGTTTCACAATATGAAGTAGATTTTTTATGGCCAAAAACAAAAAGTTGAAAAGCACCCAGTTTTTCACCATATTAATTTGGCATCAATAATATTAACACTTGGTGCCCAATTGTGCTTTTTAAAACTTTCTTAGTTTATTATTTTTATCTGTAAATAAAGTTTTTATTTTAGCATTATAATTAAACTGACAATATATATTTTTGTAATATATATTTAAATTTGTGATAGAATAGCTTATCAATTTTCAAGTTGGTCTGAACCTATGATAGATGTGTTACAGTTAAAGAGACATTCAAAAATTAGTCATATTGTTTAAAGCACAATAGCTCAAATTATGGTCTATATTTTGTGGAAAAATCATTTGACAAATTTTGTGAAAACATTTCACTGATCTATGCAAATTTTTTTTCTTAGAACAATATATTTGTTGAACATTTTTTTCACAAAATATATCTTAATAATGTATTCTGTACATTGTCTAAATACTAAAACTCATTTATATGTCAGTATTTAATATGGAAATGTTTTTTTTTTTTAACTTTACTGTTGTAAAGATAAGGGGCACTGAGAAGAAAGGAGCACCCGAAGTTCATATATCATACCATAATGGAGAACATTACTCCAGCGTGAGAAGAATAGGAGATGACACAGAATCACCTGCTAGCATCAGGTTATCTGTAAGTGTGAGTTTTGTGTTTAATACAGGAGGAATTTTAATAGTTATACTTAATTAACATCTTGATAATTGGCATCTAGAAATGTGTTGGGGCTTCACAAAGCTCACCATAATCTATTCCATTAAATTGAATAAGGAACTAACAAGTATTCCAACGCAAAGGCCTAGTTATGAGAACTAAAACAAAAATTGCTCAAAGAATGCCCGATGAGTTTGGGATGAAAATTTGTGCTTTTCACAAGTATATTATACAGTAAAGACAAAAAAACTCCATTTGAATTGTCTCCAATAGCAAACATGGATGAAACACCTTTAACATTTGATGTTCCAAGCAATAGAACAACTGATATAAAAGCTACTAAAACTATAGTATTATACAGTGGTGCTAACATGTTGTGCAGATGGAACAAAATTACCACCAATGTTAATTTTTAAAAGAAAAACAATGCCCAAAGAAAATTTACCCAGTGGTGTTCACGTACATGAAAAAGGATGAATGGATGAAGACGGAACACTACTTTGGTTTGAAAAAATTTGGTCGAAACGTCCAAGAGGCTTATTAAAAGAGCCTTCTCTCCTCGTCTGGGATTCTTTTAGAGCTCATAAAATGGAAAAATAAAGGAAAAAACTAATGAACTAAAAACACAGCTGGCTGTTATACCCGGCGGTTTAACAAGTCAACTGCAACCTCTCGATGTTTCTATTAACAAACCCTTTAAGACTTAATGAGAAAAGAATGGAACAACTGGATGCAGCAGGAAAATTCTGCTATGACCCCTACAGGACGAA